CTAAATATTAAAAAACGTATCACGCTCCGCGAAACAAAAAATCTCATCGTTCTTTCTCATTTCTTTACACGACATCGGCGTAAGTTGCTCTTTCTCTTGTGTGACTGCGATAAAAGATATCGCTTTGTCTATAGGTTTCTCTGTCTACGTATTATGTACTACGTAATAGAGGCGACACTGCGTTCAGCTACCTACTCTGTTCCATTCAACTGTGGTGCTTACACCGCAATTTAATCAGTCACTAATCAATAAAAAAGTATTATACTTATATTAATAATAAAACAAATTATTCCTAAGACGCCATCTCGTGTCATGGAATATAGATTATGAAATCAATTTGTTCAGATGCGACATTTCTGTGGGTACTTAAGTATAGGACGAATATATAATTATACACATTTTTTTGTAGAAACATATATAAGTTATCGTAATTAGGCAAAAATTTTTATATTTAAATCTGCTCATTATTATTCTTTTATGTTATTTTTAGGTTTCCACATCAAAGTCTAAGTGGAATAAATTCGTCCATTTCGTGCCCAGCATTTATGAACGGCTCTTATTCTAAATAATTTAAATAAATATAATTGTGATTTAAATGTTAAATTAACAAGTTATGTTAAAAATGCATTTAGTATGTTTTTTATATTTGACATAGATTTGTTCTTACCTAGATTACCTTTTAAAATATTGAGATAAAAATATAATTAAAATGTAATTGTAATATAATATTATGTAATATTGTATTAAATAAGCAAATATAATATACAAAATAAATGACTAAATTTAAAAATTGTTTTCGATATAATTTACCTATTTAACAATACAACCTGCTGAGTACTGATCATTCTACCTTTGTTTATTTTATGATAAAAAAACGAACCGCGCGAACACAGAGTAGCGCACATTTTTTGTTTCCAATAGATGTTCTAGTACATAAGTACATATTACTTCAATGATTGTGTATGATGATTTTTTTCCAGACTTCGATAGGCCATAAGCTTGATTAGATAATACATAGTAAATTATTTTATTACTAATGTTACTTAATATGGACTAATTATGTCTGAAATAAAGTTATATTATTACTGATATCTGTATGGTGATGTAAGTCCCTTATATTCCAACAACAATTTGCCACAACAATTAGTCAATTTAGTTTCAATTAGGTAAGATGATTTTTTTCCAGACTTCGATACACTATGATTAGATAATACAAAGTAAATTATTTTATTGGTATATCTGTAATGGTAACTTAAGTAGATGCTTAATAATTCCATCACACATTATTTTGCCATTGACTTTTGGATACTTTTGACTCATTAGAAATATTTAAAGAAAAATAATAAAATCTAAAAAATATTTTTTTATATTCTCTTGATGAAATAAGAATAAAAATGGGTCTTAAACTATTTACCATAAAGTTAATATTTTGGGAGTTACGAATTTTTAAAGGTTTGAAAAATTACAAATTCGGATACATCTCATTAAAATATTTAAAGAAAGAATATATATATATATATATATATATATATATATATATATATATATATATATATATATATATATATGTATATAATGTTTCCTGGTGAAATAAAAATAAAACCGTTCTATTACTTTTTACGATTAAGTAAATATTTTCAGAGTTATTTCAAATTCTATATTAATTAATTTATTAAACTTTTAACTATTAATAAATTTACAATATATCGCGTAAGAAATCGCCAAAAGACGCCACCTACTGCTACGAACGTAGTATTATTTTTTCAATGTCAATGAACTATTCTATGGAAATAGACACGGCGTACAATGATAAATGTATTTTAATTTTTTTTATTCGGTATATTAGTTGCATTATATTAGAATTATGTATTCTAATATATTATCTAATTAATAAAAATGACTATTTTGATTATTTTTAACTATGCACTATACTGCTAATATTGAATTAGCTTTTTATAGTGTAAATTATAATATTTGTCGAAATGTTAATTATGAATTCGAACTTTACATGCTAATGGTGCTTCATTTTTGTTATTTTCATTTACTTACATATTGAAAATATACTTGAATAGTAGGTATTATTATTTTATTTAGCTACCGAATTTTAGGATATGTTTTACCTTGAGGTCAAATATAATTTTGAGGAGCAATAGTTATTACCTACTAATCTCTTATCTGCTATTCCTTATTTAGGAACAATATTAGTAAATTGAGTTTGAGGGAGATTTACTGTTTATAATGCTACATTTATTATTTTAATATTTACCTACTGGTTAGGTAATTATTAAAATTATAAATATAGCATTTGTAACTAAATAGATATTTTTTTTAATTTTTAAAATTAAAATTTTAAAAATTCTATAAAGGGGTTTAAATTATAGATTTTTTCACAAAAGAAGGGAACAAAAAAAAAGGAAAAAAGATATCACGCCCGACCGACGTACCACCTGAGCTATAACGACCGTTAGTGATTTGTCGAAATTTACCTTCTTATATTGTAGCAGTTTTTTTATTGCCTGAAAACATGGACAAAAGGACATTTTCTAAAAATAAATCCAAGCGTTCGTCGCTAAAATCGTTGGAGCCGTATAATTTTCTCATCTGGTTCGGTTCTATAAATATTTAAATATATAAAAATTATAAATTAAAATGAAAAGATAAATATACATAAATATCAATAAAATAAAATAAATACAAAATAATATTATATTATTACTGTTATTATTATTATTATAAGTTGTGGTTCGGTGAAGCTGCAACCTAATGGACCATGATCTGAAATTTTTATGAAAAAATGTGGCTGACGTCAATTATTATTATTCTTATTATTTTTTCATTACTGCCTTTTTCAACCTCACAAGATATTTGTAACTGCAAAAAAGAAAACTACGTATAAGTAAGTAAATCAGTAATATAGTGTTATGTATGATTCAGACTAAATAAAGGTTCCTAAAAATAGACGTAGATAAAGAAATTGCATAAAAAATTACTCAAATAAAAATGCAATAAACTTGTTAATTATATAGGTACTTAGTAAAATATTAAAATAATAATTTTTTTAAGATATTTATGTAAAACATAAAGGTTATATTATGTTCTAACTACGTTCACGCTTGCGCACATAAAACCGCGGAATTTCACTAGTTTTATTATCAAAATAATAATTGTCAACCCTGCCCTAAGTTTGCCTTGATTTTACCAACTCAAACTCGTTTTAGGAGATCAAAACATAGAGAGAAAGATAGGAGACTATTTTTTATTTAATATGGTTGGATCTTTATTTATTTGTATATTTTTTGTATTTATTTTATTTTATTGATATTTATGTATATTTATCTTTTCATTTTAATTTATATTTATAAAAACCAACCAGATGAGAAAACTATACAGATACCCCAACAATAATAATATAATAATAATAATATTCCACAACTATCACACAACGCCATTTTAGTCCCAAGCTAAGCAGAGCTTGTGTTATGGGTACTAGACAACTGATAAACATACTTATATATTTGTAAATACATAAATATTATAGATAAATTACACCCAGACACAGAACAAATGATCGTGCTCATCACACAAACATTTGTCCTGGGTGGGAATCGAACCCACGACCTGCGGCATAGCAGTCAGGGTCACTAACCACTAGACCAACAGGCCTGACGATAAATAAAATAAAGTCTCTAGCTCGAGAGGAGAGGAGCCGTGGTAGCTCAGATGGTTAGCGCTTGCTAAAATTTTCACAGTGTGCGAGCAAACCGGGTTCGATCCCCGCCGGCACCAATAATATTGTAATTGCAATTTTAAGTGTTGATTTACCACGTGCTCAGTGGTGAAGGAAAACATTGTGAGGAAACCTGCACGTCTGAGAAATAAGAAAAATAATATTTCGAAGACATGCAAAGTTCGCCAACACGCAGTGGGGCAGCGCGGTGGATAATTCCTTTCCTAGGACCCTTTCAGAAAATAGAATAGAAATAAAAAAATAATAAATCCAAACTTCATTTAAAACGGCGACGAGGTTCGCCATCCGTCACGTTCTGTCTCCCGGAGGGGCGAAAAGTGGATTGCGGAAACCCCTCTGGCTACGCTGAATGTATGTGGACGAATGAATGAGAGACAGATGACTAGATGTGTTATGTGTAAATGAGACGAAACGAAAGGGAAAGGATGCCACTGCACATGGCACGTATACCGCGTATTGGTCTGGCGTAGACGAGACCGAACGGGCATGCCAGGGTATGCTAGGGGTGTACGCCCCAGACATGTCTAAGCCCACTTACATCCGAGAGCAGTTTTGGGACATGGTAAGGATGGTGTTGACAAAATGTAAGGAAAATGAAAATATTATTATGTTAGCAGACTTTAATGGAAGGGTTGGGGTGAAGAGGTCTGGTTATGAAAGGATATTGGGAATGTTTGGTGATGAAAGTATAAATGAGAATGGTGAAGACCTCCTCACCGTATGTGTGGAAAAGAATCTTTTTGTGACGAATACTTTTTTTCGTCATAAGAAGATTCACATGTATACATGGGAAAGAGGTGATGATAGAAGCATGATAGATTTCGTAATTGTGGATGAATGATGAAATGATGAAAAGAATGAGGAGCGCAGTCGTAGATACAAGGGTTTACCGGGGGTCCAACGTAGGGACGGATCATTACTTGGTCTTATGTCGAATTAATGGTCTTTTCAAGCGTTGGCGGCATCGGACATCTGTGTCTACCACTGCGTTACAGCGTATAAGAATAGAGAAGTTACAAGATGAAGATGTGAAAGAGAAGTATAAATGTAGATTGAGAGGAAATATTAGATGTTTGAATGAGTTGTGTATGAATGATTTAGATTTGAATACTGTGTGGGACAATATTAAGAAAGGTTTGGTGGACGCCGCCACTGAAGTATGTGGTGTAAGTAAGAGAACAAATGAAAAGAAAAGTAATACGTTGTGGTGGGATGATGAGGTACGGGTGGAAGTTGAATCAAAGAAGAAAGCATGGTTAGATTTACTAGCAACCAAAGAGAGATTGAAAGAAAAAAGGCAGAATTTAGACGTCTAAATAAGAGAGTAAAAGAAGTTGTTGAAAGGAAAAAGAAAGAAAAAACGGATAAGAATGATAGAAGGATATCTGATAATTTCCAGGCTAACATAAAAATGTTCTGGAAACTCGTAGGAACTGCCAGGGGAAATACAAAACAGCCTATAATGAATGCTATAAGAGACGAGAATGGATGTATTCTGAATGATGAAGCTTCGAATTTAAACAGATGGAAGGAATACTTTGAAAGCGTGTTTATGAGTGAAGAGTCGTCTGAATTAAATGAACTAGAAATTCCGAAAGAAGTGGAAAGGGGTATGGAGATAAGTGTAGATGAAATAATGAAAGCAATGAAAAGCATGAAAGCAGGTAAGGCAGCTGGATATGATAGAGTATCACTCGAGATGCTAAGGGCTGGAGAGGGAGTGGTGGCAGGCTTGCTGTACACCTTGTTTAATTTATGTTGGGAATTAAAACGGGTACCGGATGACTGGTGTAAAGCAGTTATAGTACCAATATATAAAGGAAAAGGGTCACAGCAGGACTGCAAAAACTACCGTGGTATCAGCTTGCTTAGTATTGTGGGTAAACTGTATGCTTGTGCATGCTGTATGTTAAACTGTATGTACTATATACTGTGTAAACTATATACTGTGTATGTACTATATACTATAATACTGTGTAAACTGTATGCTGTGTGTTAATTGAAAGAGTCATGAAAGAAACTGATGGAAAAATTTGGGATGTGCAAGCGGGTTTTAGAAAGGGAATGGGGTGTACAGATCAAGTCTTTTCTATGCGCATGATTGCGGAGAAGTTTTTGGCCAAAAACCAGAAAGTTTTTTGTGCGTTCATGGACTTGGAAAAGGCTTATGACAGAGTGGACAGGAATGTGTTATGGCAAACACTGAACTCATATGGGTTGAGCGCTGGTTTGATACAGGCATTAAGGTCTCCTTTATAGGGACTCTATTGCTTGTGTCAGGATCAATGGGGTCTACTCGGACTGGTTTGGCATCCAAAAAGGTGTCAGACAGGGCTGTGTAGCTTCCCCTTGGCTGTTCAACCTATTTATGGACAGATGTTTGCAAACTTTGAAAGATGAAGAATGTGGGTTAAGAACGGGCGAGTTAACCGTCAAATGCCTTTTGTATGCCGATGATCAAGTCATATTTGCGTCATCGGTGGCTGAGTTGCAAATGATGGTTACATTAATGAACTGGGAATTAAAAGAAAGGGGAATGAAAGTGAACGCAAGTAAGACGAAAGTAATGGTTTTTGAAAGAGAAGAAAGCAAAACGGTATGTGAAATAAGAATAGAAGGAGAGTTAATTGAGCAAGTGGATGAGTTTGTGTATTTGGGATGTGTATTTCGCAGGGATGGTAGATATGATAGGGATATAGAACGACGAGTAAATGCAGGGAATAGAGTGAATGGGGCACTACACTCTATTATGAAGAACCAGAATGTGTCAAAAAAGGCACGTATGGTAATTCATAATGCTGTGTTAGTCCCTACTTTAATGTATGGTAGTGAAAGCTGGGTGTGGCAGAAGAAGCACGAAAGTAGAATAAATGCTGTCTAAATGCGGTCTTTAAGGAGTATGCTAGTGTTGAATCTGAATGACAGGGTGAGAAATCGCATGATAAGAGATAAATGTGGTATGCAAGATGATGTTGTGACTAGGATTAAGAAAGGAATGCTTCGGTGGTATGGTCATGTAGAAAGAATGAATGAGGAAAGAGTGACAAAGCAAATTTATATGGCAGATGCGAACGGCCGAGTCGGGAAGGGACGCCCTAGAAAAAAGTTTATCGACCAAATTGGCGATATTTTGAAAAGGGGCCACGTTAGAAGTACCCTTAACCGACGAGCATGTATGCGTAGATATATGGATGTAAAGGAGGCGAAAGAGGTATGTCAAGATCGTGCCAAATGGAAGTCCGTAGTCTCCGCCTACCCCTCTGGGTGACAGGCGTGAGTGTTTATGTATATGTATTTTATATTCATTTAAAACCAAACATATAAATTGTAAAGTAGCTGCAGGTATCTATAACCAAGTAAAAGATATTCCTTTACTCCAACTTGTCCATGTTTCCCAAAACAATTTTTAATTAAGCTTTATATTATATGGCGGATTTTTTATTTTTAAAATTTTAATAATAAAGCATTTCGTACGTCTCAGCCGAGGCGCAAATATTTTTCGGCCGCAAATTTATAAGACCGATTTGTTATTCAAACATAAACATGGTTTTTTAATTAAATCTACCAATCATAAAACGACACGCATTTTTATTGAACACTTCCTATTCAATTCACAAAGTACCTATTATATTTGTTTATATAAAAAAGTATATTTAAGTACAATCATAAAACTAAATGGAAACACAAAGTAGGAAAATGAATTGAGTTATAAAGCACATAAATCAATGGGCAAATGTAAAAATACTGGAGGCAGGCAGCCCTATCGCATGTTTACGTACCGCACGGCTGTAATATTTATTTCTAAGATACGGCCGAGTTACAATATACCGTGACGTAAGCGCATCGGTTGGTAGGTACTCAAATAAAATTATGTTTGCGGCGAAATACGGAACGCGGCGACCAGCGACGCGGCCACCTCCTACGAACGCATACAGCAGTAATGCCGCCCGCACTCTGCGCAAGCCCCTTTATCATAGAAGTTACACAATTTTCGGAATTATTTCAATTAAAAGAGAAAAAACGAACTTAAAAATTTAAATAAAACGTGGAGAATATAGATTTTTTAATTATCTATCCATTAGTGTTATCCTCAAATGATTAGAGCGTTGCGTTTAGCAACAGATGCATGTAATCAAGAATTTTTGTCATTTTTTAAAAGTTGATTTTTAATGTATTTATAGCACATAAAAATAAATTAGAACGTGGAATGTGATGATAAGATATCGAACATTAATAATGTACTTTTAGATGTAGTTTATTTTTCATAACTAATGAGATAATAGAGTCTGAAAAACGCACTTTCGCAACATTTTGGTCAGGGATTCACCTTAACACGTTCTCTGTCCGCATATAAAATCATGATTACACCCACATGCCACTTTAGATTTCGATTATAATAGTTTCATACAGATGCCAGTAATACAGTTTAGATATTAATTATTTTTCATTTCTTTTGGGGGTTTTTTAATAGACCAAAACCCCAATAGGGTCAACCCCGACCTTATGGACCTGTGAGTGTGAAATTATGTTATGTTAATATATATAAATGTTTATAGCAAGGGTCGTGAGGTAAGAGTGACCTCATGAACGTGTCTGTAGAAGACTTCAATGAGGTCAGGGTTTACCTCATGGACAGGGAACGTGTTAAAAGTCGAAGCTGTATATAGGCTTCCCCCATAGTTTGTCTCATATGGGGGACAGTTGCCACGCTCGCCAGGCGGGTTGGCGACCGCACTTTGTTTAATTTTTTGACTTGTCATCTCTAAGATGTTGCTGGAAGGAGAGGGGTTTGTTGAAAGTTAGTGAATTCTCTTACGCCGCAACAACACGACGCTTGCAATACAGGCGTAAAATAGCAGCATAATCCTGCTGAGTTTGTCTAGTGAGTGACGAGTGATTAAGATGTAAGTTTTAGAAATAAAATTTAAATTCTCTATCGAGATTAGATAAATATGTAAGTTCCTGATTGTGACCGGTACTGAAAAACACGTAGTCAGAGTCATGCTGCAACTATTTTATGATAGCAGTAAGAATAGCAAAGCTGGATAAGGAACACGAACCACCAGCTGGAAATAGGATCATAATAATGCTGCATTTCGTGGGACGTGTGAATCGAAACCCCTTTTTACTAGTAACGAGGTATTCCATTTCAGTCCTCAGGGGTGCATGCATCTGTATTTTCACTCTCAATCGATAGTAGATGTGTGTATCGTAGACACAGCATTCATTAGGCGAATTGTGGACTCATCGGTCACCATTTATATAAATAATACTACAGGCAAGGCAAAGAGGTGGCAGGAAAATAAATATTTGTTCTTATTGTATGGTGATAAATTACGAGTACATTAATGCAACCCAAAAATATTTGATAAAGCTTCGACATGAACCTTTTCAAATAATGGTTTTTCTACTAACACCAATTCCTAGTTTCATATTATGCAGCAGTCTCAGATTCATAAAGAACTTTTGCCTGAATTCTTTAGTGCGTATCTATCAATATCTATATGGCATTATCCAAATCCACGACCGCAAAGTCATAAGTAAAAAATAAGTAAGAATTCCGTACAAAATTGAATGTTCTATTTACAACTGATAGGTATACACGCTTGTATCGATTACAAAAATTTCACCAATTGCATCCACTATCATCGATGGTACTTAAATTGGAACAAACTTGAGATTTAGACTTTTTAATAATGAAAATGTCCACAAAAATTCAAATCTACGAAATTTTCAACCAACAAGTATACAGCGCTAATGTATAATATTTGACAGATATCACAGCGGGGAGAGTTACTTCTTTAGAATATTGTGGAGATTAATGTTTCTTTCCGAAATATTAGTTATATTTTATATGAACTACATTATAAATGGATAAATCAAACTACGGATATTGCTATAAATAGAAGATTAAAACAAAGTAAAAAAATTATAAAATTATAAAGAATATGAGGCATTGTTTTGTGCATAGAACTTACACTAGAAACCGACAAACTTATAACTAACTCACAATTTTTCAACAATAATGACACTGTGTGACTAGGGATTCCATTTGTGTCCAAAGAAAAAACCGGACAAGTTTCTATTTGTTTTCATTTCTTACAGAAATGTACTTTAATACAAAAAAAATTACAAAAATAAAAAAGTGAACTTAAATGTATTTTGTAATGTACTTTGTGTACTGGAAACTTACTAAACTACAGCTATTCTACTTTTTTATATATTTAGAACTTCGACTGCTTTAATAAAGTCTTATGTATTGTCTGAAATGGCATCATTAAATTCAGTGCTACTAACATTTATATTTAAGAAAACGCACAATTCACTTTTTACAGTTTGTATGACGAGACGATTTCTTTCATCGGTCCATACATTTCCCTTGACGCTGAAGATTCGTTCCACATGGCAATAAAGCATAAGATATGGGAATACTACACACATAGTGTACGATTTTTAATGAATTTGGCGCTGCTTCGTTGCTAAAAAGTTTGCCTACAAAACGCTCGTGCTGTTCGGTAGAAATAATGTACGATTATTTTACTTCCGAATAATCTATTGTCCGGTTTACCAAGAATTTTGTGACCGGATAAGCATAAAGAAAACCGGTCGAAAACCGGACATCTGGAATCCCTATGTGTGACCCTCTGTGTATCAAATTAATTAATTTTAGTTCCAACTAGCGACACCTGGTGAGCGTAAAGGTATTAGCCCTCACTGCCCTCATCGCATAACTTGCATAAAAATAAAGCCGGAATGAGAATCTTCTCCTTTATTGAAGACGGCTTTTAAAAGCTCTCGTAGAGACTATTTTTGTGGCATTTTCTAGTCGTACCTAATTGTTCTATATCGCGAAACGCTGTGCAGTGTGGTTTAGACTATAGCTCAATGTTGCTTTACGATTATGAACTCAATTCCCTAGAGATACAGTTGAAATAACATTTGTAGTTAGGTGTTGAACAATAACATTGCAGCAAAATTGCTGAACTATAGTTTCCAGTAAGATTTCCAGCAAGATGCAATTGTTATAGCCCGTTTACGAGCATTCCTAAGTGCATACTCTTTTCATGAAAGCATTTTTTTTCTTTTCATGAATTGGTATTTATTTTATGATGACTATAATAATAGAATCGGAAACAACGTGCGGATTATACAACACGTAGTAAATTTATTTACTACACCAACCACAGCATAGTATGATGTCATTTTGAAAAAAATTTATTTCCGTTTCATTATATACAAATATAGCATCAAAAAGTATACATTTAGAATATTTTTATCATTCATTCATTCATTACCGCCTTCCAAAAGTGCACTGCTTTACATAGGCTTCTGTATACATTGCCTCATATGGGAAGCCCCCTCTCTTTTATTGAATAATTTTTACGTGGTAGGCCGTGTTGCAGCTATGTTACGGTTGTAGCACGAATAGGTCGGCTCGATCGGGGAGGAACAACGCTCTCATAGATACCAGCGTAAAATAGCAGCTAAATGCCGCTGTTGTATTTTGTATGGTGAGTGTAGAGAACCGTACACCGTTTTTACTGGATACGAGACATTCCATCTAAGTCCTCAGGGGTAATGACGCATCTGCATTTTGATTCTTAATCGAGGGTAGATGTAGATGACTATGCGCCTATGCGCTATGACATCACTACACGGTAAAATTTTGCTATAAAGTGTTAGGGTATTGCACCAACGGGATTATAAAGGATAAGTGGAGTACCACGTCACTGGCGGCATAAGATAATCTACTAAAGCGCAATATTTTTATTATATAAATTTAAATATATCTGCTAACGAGCTACTGACGCAACATGGCAATAATTAGTCAATTCCTGCCCATGGGCAACTGCGAAACTTCAAACAAAGAAGGATTGTCACCCTCGAGGACTAGAACGAAATGCACCACTGCCTTTATTTATACTAGCTTTTCACTTAAGAAACTCGATGAAGAAAATAAAATACGTTAAAAATATGTTTAATTATAATCTGTATACATATTTATGAATCTTTTTCATATCTTTATAAATGTTGAATTTCTAAATTCTTTGGTTACTAGCGGCCTTTTCAAATACCCGTGCATTTTTTGTGCATCTAATCCTTCGCCTGCTCGTTTAGATTTACCTGGAACATGAACAAGTTTTAAGTGAATGATGTTTTCGTAGTACATAAAAAGAGTTAAAAAATACTATATAGTTTAAAAATACGTACGGAGGTTGTACAATATAATTCATCCTGTTATTTACAATTGACATACACACATAATTGTCTTCAGATTGGGATGTCTTGCTTAAAAAGACACAAAAATAAAAACATAACTAGACAAAAAGAAGAGAAATGTTTGTTTTTAAAATTGTTTTTGCTTCTGACGAACGTATCAACTTATTATAATTAGTAACTGCCGTTGCAGTGTTCTTTTAATTTACTCCTTCTTCTCCATCAATCTATAACAGTGTACTGCTGAAAACAGGTTCCTTCCATTAAAAATAATTTTTTTAGTTATCGTCAAGTTTGGCATGCGGATCGATCATAGTAGTATGAGACGCATCGTAACTTTAACTGGATATTTACTTCTGATATATACACAGAAAATAGTTACACTACTATCTCTCTGAAGCCATGAGATCTCATTAAAATCCTCAATAAGCGGCTCTTATAACACCAGCAAACAGCGAATTGCAGTTACACACTCTTACTAACTTACTTTTATTTGTAAATAATGATGAGTGTGAAAAATAAACTTACGTCGGTTGGTAGTCCAGCTTGCACACTCCCATGTTCAACTTCGGGCATCGTCCTAACTCGTGTACCCAACATTCCAGCGACAAATGTCTTTGACTTGGTATCAAGTAATGTGATTGGTCGATATGAATCGTCATCATCCTCAAAATCTTGTACTATGGTTGTTTCTTGCGGAGAATTTGTCGTAGAAAGTTGTGTCGTTGCATAAAATGTAGGAGAACGATTTTTTGGATTTACTAAAATCCTTAAAACTGGATATGAAACTAATAAAGGATAAGGAAGGAATATATTTTGAGAACTAACGTTTAAGGACGGTAAATTGTTTCTAATATTACGTAACAAGTGAAACATAGTTGTGAATAATCTGTTATTATGTTCAATCCTTTCAAAGGCATTAAATAGGTCATCAGGATTGTATCTTGAATATGTACTGTACAATACTGATTTTGTTAACAGTTTATTAACTGGATATATATTAACTTCAACGCGTGAAACAGTTTTTTCGAAATCATTTCTCGGTTTGCTGTTAACGATCGCGATACACATTGTTAAAAAGAAGAGCTTGATAAACATCGGCATCTGTAAATAAAAAAAAGTGTTCAATATTTAAATTGAACTTCTTGACGTTAGGGTTTTCATTAGTGTTTAGTAATGTTTGAACGTATATATTTATTGTAATAGAAATAATTATCAAATCGATTTACTACTTGCACTATAAATTAAAAACCTATTTTCTAATTGGTCATCTTAACTCGAAACGTATAAAACGATAGAGTACTTAATATGATAGAAATTACGCTTCTAGATATATTATATTAATAAGTGTCAGCATTATCAGAGTAATTAAAATGCGATTAACAAATGTAGCTTCAACTGCTGTTATCTTTTAACGTGACAGAGCCACGACGCAGCTACATTATTACAGTTTTTTTTTTAAGTTTTTTTTGTGTTTGGTTTTTTATTATATTTATTATTTTTTTTTAATATTTTTTTTTTTTTTATTTTAATTTTATTATTTAATTTTATTTTTTAAAAAATATTTTTTTAAAAAAAAAATAAGGGGGGGGTTCTGAGAACATATAGTCAGTCATCGCGTTTGATGTTGTCAGAAAAGCCGACATAAGCAATAAATTGCTCAAGTTGTCAGAATGGGAATTAATAAAAAAATAAACAACTGATTTTATTTTATTTCCCGTTTAAACAAATTAAGTAACTTAATCAGACTGAATCGATGTTCAGAAATAATAAAAATACTGACCTACAGTATTTTACCGCACATGTAGGGTGAACCATTTTAGTTTATTTGCGTGAAAGGATAACCCTAGACTTAGATATTTCACAGACTAGGCAGTTCCCGAGCGATCCGCTCGCCTCTCGACTCGCACCGCATATTGCACTGTCTATCCCGATTCAAGTTGCAACCATATTGTCACTGTATAACGTGACAATATGGTTGCAACGTGAATCGGTAGGCTTGACCGGGCAATGGTGACGTTCTCACAGAATGCCAGCATAAAATGGCAACTTAGTGCTCATTTAGTCCTAGGACCGAATGTCCCTTTTTACTGGCCGTCTATTTTAGTTCTCTTGGCTGACAACGTATCTACATTTTGATTTTGAATCGAAGCTAGGTATTGGTATCCATAGGTGATCACCACTAACCATCAATTGTACCGTATGCTTGCTTGTAAATTTTATTCAAAAAAAAAAAAAAAAAATGAATTGAAATTTGATGCGTTACTGTATGATTGGCAGTAAAAACGGTAATATTAGTTACGTAACTAAGCACCAGACAAGCTACAAGAGATCGGGTTTATTTTTTATCTTTTACGGATTAAAAAACTAGAGGTGACTTGTTCTTAGGTGTGGGATACGCGCATATGTTCATAGTATGTAAGTAATGTTTCAGACACTGTTCATCCTAAATTAAGTTATCAAACGAATTTTAGTCTTTATATCCAAATAAGTATTTTTACTGATAAACATAATTCTCTAATATATATAGAAAGTAACGTTAAATTTAGATAGACATTCACAAATCTTGTAATAATTGTTATTATGAAAAAAATTGTGATACCTTACAATTATTTTATCGTAATAACAAAACAAATGAAATTAAAATTTAAATGAAAAATTTATGAGCTCAACTACCTCAAAATGCTGCTGTCAAGTTTAATGAACTCTTCGTATAATAGCGTTTAAAATACAACAAAAAAACTTTCGCTTAACCTGGAGATCAAACACCCTAACACTTAAAAGCTTGTTTTTTTACTTTACCGTGTTATGGCTGTGGAAGAATATCCCCTACACCATGTCATCCCGTGAGTGTTGTAGGAAGCGACAGAGGGAAATAGAAACAGGAGATGGGCAGCGGGACATTCCTGATAGCAACGTAAAATAATTAAAAACTGTTGTTGGCAATCCGCCTGCCAAGCGTGGCAACTATGACAAAATCCCCCCTATCAATCTGCAGGGGAGGCCTATGTTCAGCAGTGGACTTTGATAGATTCTAATAGATAGAAGTAATGGACAATAGCAAAAGCTTAAATTAAAAAAAATATAAATTACAATATGTAATATTTTTTAAAAGGGAATGTTGTATTATTTTTGTTTGTAATGTATTCTGTTACATATATAAGGGAGTACGTACCTTAAAATTTAGTCTCTCTTTTTGGTGTATATTAAATATAAAAATATATTTAAAAAAACACTTGAACTGCCTTCTTTAAGTTACATCTCAACACATTGAAGTAAAGCTATAATAATTGCACGTCCGTTACTTGGTAAATGTAATAAATCTAACTGAAACTAATTTCTAATTTTAACGGAAGTAATTGAGATGTGCGTCTGTCCACGTAAGCAATTCAAACAATACTAAGATACTTGTACACTATACGAGATAACAATATGAGATAATAGGCGTTTTTCCTCATTTCTTAAAACCAGTTCCATCATATGCAATTAGATATAGACACGTTTATAGACGTTTTAAAAACATTGAATGAAAATTATTACAATATTTATTTTTTTCAGAAATATAGAGTCTGTTATATGTTTACGTCGAATATTAAAATGATTTAAGAATTAATTCATAATCATTAATCATATTACGAGTATAAGTAAAATTTTGAAATAATAATAATAATATACCACAACTATCACACAACGCCAAGGGACTAGCCCAAGCTAAGCAGAGCTTGTGGTTATGGGTACTAGACAACTGATAAACATACTTATATATTTCTAAATACATAAATATTATAGATAAATTATACCCAGATACAGAACAAATGATCGTGCTCATCACACAAACATTTGTCCTGGGTGGGAATCGAACCCACGAACTCCGGCATAGCAGTCTGGGTCACTAACCACTAGACCAACAGGCCTATCGAATAAATCGAATAATTTTTGGATGTTTATTACTTGAAGACGTATAACCGTGTAGTGTCCACTACCCTATACCATCCCGTGGGCGTCCTAAGAGGCGACAGAAAGAAAGTGAAATAAGGGACGGGCAGCGTATTTATGGTAATAGCTGAATCAAAATTATACGCTGCGATTGCCAACCCGCTTGCCAAGCGTGGCTACCATGGCAATTATCCCACCTAAAATGCAAATTTTGGGGGAGGCCTATTTCAGCTGTAGACTTTTAATAGGCTATAATAGTAATGTATGGTTATACGGTTCAACGGAATTCGATGAAATTCAGGATCTGGTTCACACATGGAAACACTTACCACGAAGAAATGCAAGATGTCTCGAATGTACACACATTTCAACTAATGGTAAGCCGTTCCTATATAAATTCGACCCATTCTTGAAACCTAATGATAGTTAATTCGTTTCTATTTATACGGTATGCTTATGATTCACAAGAAATACATAAATTTAGTATTAATTAATTATTAATTCACATGTATAGAACCTATTTAGAATTGCATTTTACGTTATTTTAAAGCAAATAATAATAAGTAAGATTTTACATTAATTTCTGTGATAAATTTTGATTAGTAATATATTAGTTTCATAACTTATTCTAAAGATGTTCTCTACTAAGTTACGTGTGGGTAATATGGTACCTTAAGCTCTGCCGCTCTATAAAACCAAAACTAGGAGAAGGACAGAGACAAAAACTTAAAATCGTATACTATAACTAATATATTAAGAAAAAATAGTAAACAAGCTTGAACAATTAGGAACACTTCGGAAAATCTACTTAAAAAATCTAACACACTACGCCATACTAAAATCTACAAAAATATTTCCTATAATGTCAACTGTCAAAATAACGTCGATAAAGCATCACCTTTTTGGCCCTTTAGTATTTTATTGACCAATGAAGAGCTATCGTTTATTTAATTTATTTATTATTTATTACACCAACAAAGTACACACTATTACATACAAGAATATCAGAAAAACAAAAAAAAAGAAGAAACATATAAAGTGCTACTTCAATTATAGGCGCAAACAGCATTCTTAGAAAGCTCGTACATTAACTTATGTTGTGAAGAACTTTAATTCATTTATATTAAAATGTATGCATTATTATAAGTAAGTTATTATACAATTGATTAACTTATTAGTATTATTAACAACAACAATAGTAAAACTTTATCAATGCATTACATTTAACTATTTCAAGAGCTATATATCATTTAAAAACTAATAAACATAGAAATGTCATTAAAATAAAAATTTATATTATAAGTCAAAATTAAAAATTGAAAAAAAAATAAAAATAAAAATAACGCTCACGCATATTGAAATTAAAATTACCTATCGTACATAATAATCGAATCACATTCGTCACATCACATCGTATCACAGAGTCATCTATGCAAACAATACTACTGTACTTTTTGAGTCACAAGAATCTGACTCTCACGTACTATAGAATTCCACCTGCTGGTAAATGGTTATGAAACCTTAAAACGGTAAATCGCTTTGCCTAACAAAAGCTTATTCACTTTTGCCTTGCAGAAACCTAGATTGTAATCGGTCGGAAATTGAAACAAACAAATTTTTATCGATGTTATCGCGTTTAATTTAACTTCTTAATTCTTGACATTTCGGTTGCTTTACAGCACCCATAGTCATGGGGGAGAGGGACTCTACAAAGTTAAATTAAACGCTATAAATCTGTAAAAATTAGTTTCATTTAATGTGTAATGTTGCCGTTAATATAAAAATCATTACGGACGGAAATACTTCGCTCATAAATTCACTAAATATGAGTATGACATTTACTGATATGGTACACTATTTTCATGTTAATTCCAATTGTTTGGTCAATGTACGGCGATAAAGCAGTCGAGCAGCGCTTTTCTTTCAGCGTTTATTCGGCGCCGACGCGACGCTTGTCAAGTCAAAAGCGACAAAACTAACATAGCTTTATTTTTCAAGTGATTTAAATAAAACTTTAAATGTTATCCAAAATAAATACTTTTTACTTACTTTTTACAATTTAGTCCTGTTTAAAGTTCTTATGAACGTCAAAAACTATATTTTCTTTCTTTCGCTCGTTTGCAAAAACAATACCCTATCAGTGAAAAATTGACAAGAAGCTCTGGTTCTATCTCTTATCTTTTACACAATTTTTAAATGGTTATTCATAATTTTATTTACAACTTATCGTAAAATCAGTACAATGTCAAAATTAAATGTTATTTTTAACAATTTATGAGGAGATAGCAAATTTAAAAGTCGACGGTTCTTTTTAAATTGATTGATTATTACACTTTTATGGTAAGATTTAATCGATTTGCTCCCAAAAATTATTTTTATCGAGTGTACCTTGGCCTGTTCTACAAGAGATAGTCCGTTTTTTATTAAATAAATTTATATTTTATCTTACGTACATGATACACTCAAAAAAACGACGTAAGTGTCAATATAATATTTAGTCTTCTTGAAACGACTTACGAGACCCAAGTTATGAATTGCCTTCATCATTTACTTTTTCAAAATCTATATTGTTTTCAATCTAGCTACAGATACTTACCTTATGTCATAGGTAAGACTGTGGAAGTGAGCAAAATAAACTAATTTAACTGTTGCTCTTTAGTCAACTTTAAAATCCTTATTGTAACGAACAAATGAATTTCGAAGTTCATCAATCTAAGATCCTCACAGGAGCTCGGAATCAATAGAAATTCCGAGAAATACGGACCAAATTTAAGAAATCGATATTATTATATTGAAAATTATATGGAGCGAACAAGAAAGTATAAACATTAAAAAAATATATTTTGTATTTAAAAAAAAATTGCTTGCTGCAAACCGTTAGGTAACCATGGTCTTTGGTTGTACCGTCTCAGTACGAAATCGTTCCCTTTACTTACGTTTATCATTACAGCCTATAAAGTCCACTTCTGAACATAGGCCTACACCATAGATTGCCTCGTAGGGGATCCCCCCTACGAGGCTGTATGTAAGCTGTGCGCTAGTTTTAATGAATAATGCTAAGGTTGGCAACTGCAGTTTTTTCTATTAGGAAGACGCTACTTCCCATTTTTTGATTTGTTTCCCTTTCTCGTCTCGTACGTCACCTCGTGGGTGATATCGGTCTAAGGGTAAGTCTTGAAACTTTTGCGAGTATATATCATCAGCATCATCATCATGCAGAACTCTAACATTTATTTTGTACAATTATGTAAGGAAGATAATTTTTGTCGAGACAAAAATCTGAAAGGCGGTTGACCGGTAGGCCTACCCTGGAACTTTATCTCGAAAATCTATATAATTAATCTAGAAACAGCTTCTTTGGACCTCAAAACGTGGGGATCTGTTAAAAACTCGCATTCTCGAAATCGGATCGATATTTATAATTTCCTACTTTTGAAAATTATTAATTTTCAAAGCGGTAAGTTTAAAAATAGGCAATTATTATGGATCCCTGTGGGACGCGACTCTTTTATTACACTTGGACTCTTTATTTAAATCTTTAAAGATGTCCTGCAATATTGTATATTAAAATAGATTTTCATTTTATGAATTTCCTATCCCGCCATCACACGACGCTCCCAAAAACAAAAAGAAACAAGCATTTTTTTTTCTATTTTACATTACGGCAACAACATTGAAAGCGATTTTTTATCCGATATTGTCGAGAGTCGAGGGCCGAACGTTGGAAATCCCAAATGCGTCACAAAGTAATATATCATTAAGTAATCAACTCCAGATAAATTGGCTAAATAAAAATCTTGTGATCAACACGCTTTTAAACACGTGTTCATATTTTTAAGAATTATCCATTGCTATGGCTATAATGTATTAAAAAAAAAACCTGTATTTTTTTTAAATGTTTTTTAAAAGAATATTAACTTAAGTCATTATGTTTAGTTCCTATTTATGTAACGAAGATAAATATTTTAAAGTATGGTTTAGTATGTTTTGACCGAGATAAGATAGGAAGGTTTTATTATAGCGGAATCTATAACGCGATTATTGATGATGTTAGTTTGTTATTTTTTATATAAATGCCATGCGTTTCGAGTAAGCGACCACCTAAGTCCGATTTAGTCATATATAATTTTTGTTATTATTTGTCTTTTAGTACTTAACGAAATAATGTGATGAAGAGAAAAAGACCTTAAGAAGGTTCCCCTAGCGAGAGACCTTGAGCGTTCGGTCCCATACAATCCACGCGCTCTCGATACAATATATCACGGAAAAATACGCCCGAATATTTGGAATTATTTCAATTAAAAGAGATAAGCGAACTTAAGAAATTAAATAAAACGTGTAGAATATAGATTTTTAAATTATCTATCCATTAGTGTAATTCTCAAATGATTAGAGCATTTCCTTTAGCAACAGCTGCATGTAATCAATAATTTTAGTCATTTTTTAAAAGTAGATTTTAAATGCATTCATAACACATAAAAACAAATTAGAACGTGGAATGTGATGATAGGATATCGAACATTAATAATGTGCTTTTAGATGTAGCTTATTTCTCATAACTAATGAGATAATAGTCTCTGAAAAACGCACTTTTGCCAGGTTTTGGTCAGGGTACCGCCTTAATAGAAAAGAACCTTGCTTGTTGCACTATTAGATCTTTGCTCAAATCTAATTTTTCTTCTAACTAACCCCTTAATAGCTTTTTTACTGTAAAAATATGTCACTAAGAAATCAGAAATTTATCTCATATATTGGAGGTATATTACATAAATTGTACATTGAGTAATATCCAGATGGGAAACAATTATTTGTAAGCTAAAAATACAGTCGACTCTCGTTGACTCAAACCTGCCATAATTCGAACCTCTCTATAATTCAAAGCTATCACGAGTTCTCTGCAAAATCCCTTTATACTTCGAACTAAACCAATACAAAATGTATTGGTTTAGTTCGAAATATAAATGCTCTTTGTACTTTGTAATTCGAATGAAAAAATCATTGCTACCTAACAAAATTTGAACTCATCGGCGTCAAACCATCTACCTAGGTGGATTGAAAAGTACTCGGCCTAACACAGATCCATTCAATTTTAAAAATCAAATCTACCCACATTATTTAGTTCAGTTCAGACTAGTTCATTGTGTGAAGTTCGAAACGTGTGCGATAATTAGTTGTGATTTTATAAATTTATTAACAAGATGAACCCCGCTCTGGAAGGCCTTCGACGTCAACTACTGACGAAAATATTAAAAAAGTACTTGATTTAATAATGGGAGACCGCAGATTAAAAATTAGAGAGATAGCCGAGATTATAGGCATCTCTTATGAACGAACTCAAAACATCATTGTCAACGAGTTGGGTTTCCACAAGGTGTCTGCGAGGTGGGTTCCGCGACTGCTTTCAGTTGAACAAAAAAGGACGCGATTGACTATTTCACGCGACTGTTTGGAGTTATTTGAAGCCGATGCAGATGATTTTTTGAATCGTTTTGTTACTATGGACGAAACATGGGTTCATTACTGTACACCGGAAACAAAACAACAATCAAAACAGTGGAGAAGACCTGGTTCACCACCCCCTAAAAAGGCTAAGTCGATTTTGTCGGCAAATAAAGTGATGGCTTCAGTATTCTGGGACTCGAAAGGTGTGATTATGATTGATTATCTTGAAAGGGGTCAGACTATAAACTCTGATTACTACTGCACCTTACTACGTCGTTTACGAGAGGAAATAAAAGAAAAACGTCGAGGAATGCTCAGAAGAAAAGTCCTGTTTCATCAAGATAACGCCCGTGTTCACACGTCAGTACAGTCAATGGCTGAAATTCACAACTGTGGCTTTGAACTGTTACCGCATTCGCCGTATTCACCGGATCTGGCACCATCAGACTTCTTTCTGTTTCCTAACCTAAAAAAGCACTTGGGAGGTCAAAGATTTTCGACAAACGACGAGGTCAAAGCAGATGTAGACGCATATTTTGACTCTAAGGAAGAATCATTTTTTTTCAACGGTCTATATGCTTGGAAGGGGAGGTGGCAAAAGTGTATTGAACTTGATGGTGATTATGTAGAAAAATAAAAATATAACTGATTTAGTATGTGTTTATTTTCTTGGTTAGGCCGAGTACTTTTCAATCCACCCTCGTAGTTATACAACACTAGAAGAGGAGCAAACCACATTACCGCGCGTCGAAAAAAGTGTAACCACTATCCAAACGCGACGATGTAGCTTTGAAACTAATAACAATTTTAAATAAACAAATATCTATCTCATTTACACAAGTTGCGAAAACAATATCGTCGCTAAGATTAGATAAAGATAGACACACAAACTTGCAACGGCGGGTTGGTGTGGCTTACTATATGAAATTTTACCTAAAATACGCAATAAAAATGAGAAATTTTTTTTAAGCTGCAGTTAATTGTTTTTATATTAAAAAAGTATATTATATTTTTAAATCTATATTGCGGCTCCTTAGAAAAAAGGATACAAAGCTTCTCAGATGAATAGAAGTAAACAAAATGATGAAATAAAACATATTTTTATAAGTATTTTATTGTACTAATAAATCAAACAATGTAAAATAGTTAATAAAATATAATTAAAATAAATATTTATTTGAAATTATAATTAATATAAAATTATTAATACATAATAAGTAGATAATAAAATATATTTAATAGATAGTTCATGAATAAACGTTATACGAAAGTTAAAACGTAGTTTTTATTATAATTTCCAAAATATTTAAAATCATAGGTAACAAATAACCGAATAACAATTATTATGTGGGTAGTAAGAAGATTGATAAACAACGAAAGCAAGAGAGAACCAGACCGAGTAAAAGTTTTACCGAACTTTCGGCCGAATATTCGTATTCGGTGAAATCCATATTCGGCCCATCCCTATTAATTATTGAGTTTTATTCCGAATTTTATTGAAAAGGCATCATGGAAGATTCGTAAAAGCAGAAAGCACTAATCTACCAAGGCTAAATAATTTTATGGTAGCAAAATTTTTTTGCATGTAATCCCAATTTTTGTTCTGTTGAGTTGAGGAATGTTAAAACATCAATGTAAGTACCTATTACCAACTTTTGTTTATACAAAAACACAATACCGAGTGTATTTTGATAAAACATAGTTTAGTAGCTATCATAGTTTAGTTTATCTGTAATTACCATCATTAGCAATCATTAGTGATAATATTTACGTTAACGTAATTTATTACAAAATTTTACTTGCGATACCCTTCACCTCATGATGTTTTTATAGTTAAATATAAGTCATACACCAAAATGATCTTCACAAAAGAATAATCTAGTTTATGTAGACAATGTATTCGGGTATTGTCTTGCCAGTTTTAACCAAGTTTTTTTGTTATTTAAATCAGTTGGCACTTGAATCCATAACTTTACCGGCGTTCTTATGATCGTATTTTTACATTCAGGCACAACACAACAATGATATAGATGTTAACTCATTATTAAACATTAAAAATTATATTATACCTTTGCAAAATCGGCAAAATTTTTGGACAGTGA